ATGTTCATTCAAGTTTGCACAAAAAAGAGTGGTGGGACTGGGAGTCACATGCGGCTCCCGGACAATTGAGCCCATAAACTTCAAGCAACCAAATCATCTATTGTGTTTATAAAAGTGTTGGGCATATGATTGTAAGTTACAAACAAATCAGTGACTATTAAACGATTATTTTTTCCATAGGACAACTTAATTACTGGTCCCTAGAAGACATGTTATCACAATTCACTATTGAGGAAAGAACCCAGTCTCATCAGCAGTTTTTAGCATTAAAAAAAATAAGAAAGTGGGGGACTTCCTTAGTGGTGCAGTGAGTTAAAGCACAGCACTAAGAAGCTAAAGCCACTGCAGCATGAGTTTGATCCTGTCCTGGAGCTGACCCACATGGGGCGGCAGACCTCTGCTGTCCCGCCCGCTGCTCCCCTCAGCAGTGTACTTTGTCTGTCCGTTCTGCTCCCCACTCTGTCTCTGGTGAATCCTCTCACTGTCCCTGAACCTCTGGCCTGTACCCCAATTCTGTATTCATAAATAAATAAATCTTTAAAAAATACATATGTGCTGTATAACTAAAAAATACATATGCGCTGTATTACATATTTCACCTTTATTGTACAAAATTGAAAGCTTTGAAGAAAAGAAAAAGAAGGGTAATAATGGCCACTTTAATGCATGTTTTACTCAGCTCATCTTTTACATTTTAATGACTGTCAAATTGATTGAAACCAATTGTGTGGATAGAACTCAGTCAGGTGACATTGGTTGGTATGAAGCCAAAAAACCTTGAATCTCTATTTCAGGTTCAACTCATTTTTCTTCTCCTTATCACATTTGTTCCCAGACATCTTATTCATGTTACTGCTCTCTCATGTTCCCCATATTAATGTTAAATTATTAGCAGAATGATTAGATAATTAATACCAGTGATATTTGCCTTTCCACTTAATAAAATTTCATATTAATTCCTGCAGGAATGAAATTTTCTTCAGGATAATTTTGAGGATCATTGCAAATTAATTTTTAAAAAATCAGTAAAAATAGTATGAAGAGAAATATTTCCAAAAAAGTCATGAACTTTATATCTTTATATAAAAACAAATACAAATTCACAGAGATATATCCATTGAATGTGTACATTATGTGCTCCTAGAGATGTTTGCCCAAAGTATATTTTTGTCAATAACAGGAAAGGAGTGAAGTGTTCTTTCCTGAGCATTAAGTGATCGAATTGTTCTACTTCAATTGTTTTTCACCACACCTGCAGAGAAACAGGCACAATGATCTAATTGATTTTTCTTTTCATTTCTATTGCCAAATACCACACAGTGTTCATGTGGTGTTTCAATGACCTCTACTCCCTACTCTTTCTGTGTCCTTATACCCACTCTATTCCTCATGCTTACCTACTCTCTACAACAGATGTAGGGTGATTTGTATAAAAAAGTAAAAGAAGAGGGCCAAAACAAACAGATTTTTCATTCATGCCATCTGTTCTAGATAACTCTGACCCACAAGAACCTGCAAATTTTGCTCTTGATTTTTTTTCCTTCTGTTTCGGTTTGCGGGTTCTTAAGTACTATAGAAAAAGACTGTATATTAACTGTGCAGAAATGAAATGGAACAGTAGTGAAAAATTTACTTTGTAGGCTGATGATTTCTGGTTTTCAGGTATACACAATGTAGTAAAAAAATATAAATATAGTTTTGATTCACCCACCACAGTGACTGACTTGGCACATTATGCTGGTTGTAGTCATAGCATGACTAGAAGTCTGTTTCCTCCTCTTTTAGACAACAAAATTCCTGTCAAAGCTGCACAACTTAAACAGCAAAATTTTGTTTATTTAATATTTGACACATTCTTTACGATAACCCAGGGTTTTCTTCTTCCTTGGAAAATGTGTATTCTACTAATCAAATCTGGAATTGGGAAGATTCTATTATGGTATTCAAAGTGCATCAACTTCTAGAATTGTGCTGTTACAAAATAGTACCCACCAATCACACATAGTTTATTAAGTACTTGATGTGTGACTAGTGTGAACAAGAAATTAAATTCTATATTTTATTTAACTTTAATTAGCTTAAACTTAAATATCCGAGTGTGGCTCCTGGCAACAGAATTGTTCTATGCAGATAAAGAACAGTGCATCGTGATGGGAAGTTTTGTTCTGTAGAGCTGACCGTGATGCGTCTCTGTCTTACTCTATGTATACCTTTAATAGTTTGAAAGGAGCTGCCGCTCTTTAACTGAAAGGAAGTTGCCAGATCATTGGGGAGCTGTTTTGGTTATACTTAAGGTGCCTGGTGTCCAGATGCATTTGTCTTCCTGGACATTCTGGTTCAAACAATACAGAATCCATGCTGGGTTCAAATCTCTTCATTATCAGAAATCATCTGAATATCTATAGATAAATTTCTTTCTGTTTGATCTACATGTTCTTTATTTGTAATCAGGAAAGACTACTGATCATATCAAACATGGTCAAGGTAGAAAGGCCTGCCTCTTCTTTATTTTACCTGACTGAGAATAATGCAACATTTGCTTTAGCCCGTCCTCCTCCCCCCCCATACCTATTTCTCTTGTGAGGAGATTCCTGAATATTCACTTTTAACCTCCATGAAAGAGACTCCTAGGAAAAAAGGTTCAGCTTATCATCATCAAATGGCTACTCACAGCATGCTTTTCTTTAAGTAATAATTCCAAGTAAACAAGAAAGGCTTTTCCAATTCTGACTGGACCAATAGGCCATGATCATAAGTTCTTTGTTCAATCTTTACAGCCAGGACCCATGGGGTCTGTGTCTTCCAGGTAGCATAAAAGATTACTCAGAATGTCTCCTGGAGCTCATAATGGCAACATCAATTGTCAGTGAAAAGCACTGTCTGTTCTTCTGGGAAGCCTTTTCTTCTTTCTTTAGTCTTTCATTCCCTCCCACCTTCCCTCCTTCACTTCCTTCCTAATAACCTCAATCAGTACAGGAATCAAAACATTGAGGTACACATCTCTTGTGAAAATTGACCTGCTTAACTCAATGTTTCTCAACTTCATGTGCATTTTGTATTTATCTAAGATTCAATTAAAACATGGTGATATTACATAGCCCCGAAAGAGTCAGTTTGAAAATCTTCCAAGAACAACTGGCAACATCATCTGAGGAAAAAAGAAAAGAATAGCACTAAAGACAAAGACTTTACCAGCAGCAGCCACCTGTAGAAGCTGCTATAAATAGCTTCCTTTTTCTCTATTGTTCTCCTGAGAAGTTGCAGCTTGTACATCACCTGTGGGTTACTCTCGTCATCCTTACCCATACTTAGAATCTGCACTTTGGCTTGGGACAATATAACATATTAATTTGCTTGAATTATGTCTTAGGATAGGGAGGACTAAGCAGGTAAATGCAGATGGTGTGGGTTAAATTATGATAAGAAATCTTCAAAAAGGCTTTCATTTCCAAACTTAGATATTTAAGGAACATTAATGTCAAAGAATCCTGCCATTCAGATATCACATAAGAACCTAACCAATGACTTGTGAGAGAATACATGTTGGATTGCCACTCATGAGAGGATGATTAAGTCACAGAACCGTCTGTGACTTAATTCAGAACCCTCTGCTATTGTGTTGCAATGGTTGATTAAAACCATAACATAGTTAGAAGTGACTATTGCACACACACACAGGGTAAAGGCAGGGAAGGAATGAGGACAGCTCTAATCTGTTACAAACACTGGGAAAAGAAAAATAAAATAAAGAAATTAAATATTTTCACAATTAATATTGCCTGATGTTTTTGCTATTTTATAGCAATAAGATACAGAAATCTATTACTAAATGACCCAAATATGACATCATTTTTTTTTAAATTTCTGCTTTACCATAATTAACCTCAAAAAGAAAGGCTACCTTGTATCCAAGTCTTTGCAAACCTCACATTACAGACTTTTCATCATTTTCTACAGGAAAGATGTATTAGCTTAAAATACCCTGAATCAATTCTAGTTTTAGAAGTTCTGTGGAGAACAGTGTATAGAATCACTAAAAAAGGGAGAAAGACATTTCATATAGATTTTGTTATTGTGCCTGAGCATTTGACCTCACAATTGTAGAAGTCATTGTAAATATAACTCTCAAAAATTTCCTTTAAAGCATTTTTACATTTTAGAAAGCAAGTTACAGTTTAGACATCATTATTACACTCCTGAAGGATGAATGAACAGAATCATTTTAAGGTTGTTAAAATTCATAGTTGTTGCTAGGGACAAATTCCTCATTGACCGCACCACATACATCCAAAACTTGCTAAGCAAGATTGTTTCTTTAAATGCAGGGGAGGAAAAAGAAGCAATATTTCTAACTTAATAGGTCCTATACTAGTTTATATATAGTTAATAGGTCTTATACTAGTTCATATATAAACATAACAACAGTGATAAATAGTAAAACTATACATTTACTTGTTTCACAAACAACTCTAAAAGTCTTTTGTCCTTAGAAACATTTCCTTTTGTACTGTTAACTACATATCTGAAATTGATCATATCACTATGATTTGTTTCTACAATTCTTACTTTCAAATCCAGCTTAAAATAAAAACAGAAAAAAGAAATAAATCATAAGCATTTTCTAAATAAATTAATGTTAGTAGAAAAAATATGTTATTGTCAGTGGGAAAAATATTCACTCTACATACAAGGCAGCTACAAGAATAAAAAGAGAAAGAAGAAAAAAATATGGTATCTGGTGAGAAGATAATTGTTAAGAGAAGGCATAAAACTACTTTTGAAATAGATTAGAACTGTTTATTTTATTAAAAAGTTGACATAGGTAGTCTTTAGTGTTTATGACTTGCAAACTAAAGCGTTTAATATTTAACATGTTTAAGTACAAGCAGCAGCAGTTTGGTAATCAAAAGAAATAATTTGAATCATCTCAGAAAAATAAATTCATTATAATTAGGATATTTCAGAATATGATTAAAACATTTAAAAGAAAATGTATTCACCTTTCTTGTCATCAAAGTACAGTGTCTGTTGAGCTGGATTTGACCACTGGAGGGAGGTGTTATCATTTTGATCAACCCTGCAGGTCAAAATTGCAGTTCCGCCTTCAACAACCGTTACATTCTGTGTTAGTGGAAACTGCCCTTGGCTACCTAAAAGGGGATTAAAGAAAATGTTGATTAAATGAAAGTTATAAAATGATTAACTTCCCAAGAGCTACACTGAACTGAACTTCCACTGCAAATAAAATATAACCACCAAATGGTTATAAAAAGACAGAAAAATAATTGAAAATTCTTAATCAGAGGACAACAGCTTTGTCATATCATTAGGATTCCTCTATACTCCTAACATTTTCCAGAAAATCTTCTTTTCCTTCTAGTTACACAAAAAGATTTATATTTAAATAATAACACAATTATCATTAATTTTCCCCAGCCTTGCTTTAATTATATGGTGCTGCGCCATGTCATCTTGGAATAATTTTGGATGTATTTAACTCTGTAACGCAGCTGAAAAAAAACATAAAATACTCCCTGGTATCTTCATAAACCTGAATAAAGTCTATGAAATATGAATATTAGAACTTTACATTCAATTTATGATAAAATAAATACAAAGTCCATTTTATTTATTTTACCAAGGTTTCAGATATATGTAACTTTTTTTTTTTTGGAAATATGAAATATGTTCAGGAAAACAAGGAAATCTTCAAAAAGCATTCATCCTGAAGAACTTGATTTCATAAACTTGGGAGATAGAGATAATATTCTTCTTTGTTCCTTTCTATAATTTCCTAAATTCCTCCAATAAATATATAATTTGAAATAAAAGAAAACAGTCTTAAATGACCCTTGTCATTCTAGATATTATAATGTAATCAGGTTTTCGCTCTAAGTATCATACTAATTAATTAAAGTAATTCGTGTAATAACTTTATTAACAAGAGCACTTCTAACAGTTAAAACAAAATTCATACACACAGAAACATTATTCATGAACTCCACCTCAGCATGATTATCTGGACAGAAGCCCTGCCAATTCCGGTAACAATTATCAACATGGGTAAAAAATGACTTTCTAGAGCCAGGTTAAAATACTATTATGTGAGCAAGGCAGTTCATTAACTCAAAGATAATTTACATATGCAAGAGTATTATGATGACTTAATCACACCCCTGAAATGTATTTTCCTTTTCTTCTATAGTTTTGTAATGATTCTATTACTACAAGCCCCACTTGAGGTTATGCTGGTGCTACTGGCATAAAGAATCTTAATACCAAGAAGCCTGATGATTGGCACCATAAGAGACAGAAGAGCCTGAAGGGAAAATTTCTTTCCAGACCTAAGTGACACAAGCACAGGGGTTCATGACCATGTTATATAATTAAGTCTATCAAGTATGAAAATCTGATGTCAATGGCTTTGTCTCCTCCATGCCAGACTCTTAGAGTCACTATGGCAACTCCCTAGGCTATCCCACTGTAATCTTTAGGGTGGAGTTTTTAAATTGAGGTTAGAAGATGTCTGGAATAAATTCTTTGATAGTTGACTTGAAAGTCAACAGAAGCCAGAGTGGGATGTGTTTTGCCTTCAGCTCAGAGGTGACCTCTAGCAGGGAAACATGGAGAACTATCAATCTTGTGAAGTGAGGTGAGGCGAAAAACCACATCAGAGAAAACATGAGTTAAAATGAAAGAAGGAATAATTACCAGAGATATCAAATTAGCAGCTCATAAATACAAAACTTAGAATGAATTTAAGATGCTTAGGTTTCCTCATTTTGACTCAATGTATAAGTTGAGCTTTCTGGGGTAGGAGGAGCTCTTTAAGTAGTAAAAAGCAGACAGCTGCTAATAAATATACATAATTCAACCCAGACAACAATTTGACCATCAACTGGTACATAAATAATATTGTCAGCTTCTTTAAAGAAGTGGAAAAGAGCAGTGATGCTTGCAACAATTTCATCCACTACATTTGCAAAATAATTTCCAAAACATCCCATAAGAAAATATTATCCTTCTCATTTCACAGATGGGTAAACTGACACTGGGAGCTTAAGTGATTTTTCCATGGTGAAACAAAGTCAATGAACCATTTGGAATTTGTTCAAAAAGTTCATCATTTTATTTTTATTTTTCCACAAAGGCTGCTAGGACATAGAAACTGTTTGTTTAAAAATGAATTATATAATAATGAAAACAATAACTATTTTAACAGTGAAACCTTATGATGCATGTTTCCTTATACATTTCAGTTGTAATGTTAAAGTCAAATAGGAGAGAATGTTTATATTTACTGTCATTAAATATCTTTTCCTATTCAGAACTTACACTTGCAAATCATTTCAATCTTCTCTCATCGGTCCATAGAAGAAAGACACTATCACTTTTTAGGGTCTTCTACATGCCAGATATTCTATATATACTAGTGAAATATGTCTCTCCAAAGAGGTGATTGGAATAATTTCTCTCAATCTTCTCTCTCATGATATGTAAAGTGGGAATTCACTTTACATGATGACTTCAATTCTCTCCAGGACCTGCAGCCTAAAATCCCTGCAGTCAAAGGGATATATATATATATATATATAT